CGAAAAACTCTAAATTGCTTAACCCCTTTGTAGCTGGGCTTCACCACAGATCCCTACCTTAGTCGTGGGGTCCCTGTGAAGGTAACTGGGCTTCTTGCTGAGGAAAATCTTTAATCAGCTTACAATGACTCTGGTGGATCCAAGTGTCTCTCTCCTGGATCTTCACAGCGGTTGGAGTTGCTAGTTTCACAATGTAGGGTCCTTTACACCTAGGAGCTGCCCAAATTTCCCCTTGATGATTTTAATCAGCACACGGTCTCCAGGCTTCAGGCCTTCCTGTAGGGAAAACAAAAGGAGCTCTGGGCAGATTACATGTTCTTCGCAACATGTCAGACATGCTCTGCAAATTTTTTTAAAGTGGTTATTAAATCCTGCAGTTGGATTAAATACTTGTTGTACTATACTCATTATCCCTCCTCTGGAGACATGATAAACTCATGGCTCAAAATAGCCGCTGCTTTCAATCAGAATCAAAATCAGAAATACTTTAATAATCCCAGAGGGAAATTATTTTTGTTACACGCTTCAGTTACAGTTTTATATATGTATACACACATCCAACTACACAATATAATAAAGATAAAAAAATAAGAATATGGGAGTGCTACTGTTTCCACTCTAACATATCTACTAACATATCTACTAAGCCTGCACATAACATTTCTCCATTGATCTACTTCCACACACCATCTATTTCATACTCTAACTTCCACTTCTACAAGTATTTTAAATTACTTGGATCAATCTGACACAAACTTTCCATATCCCTCATGATCTTCTCTATACTCTTCCCTGAACCCATCCTTTTCAATTATTTTACCTCCCTGGCTTCTTATTATGTTACCTTGGAATAGAACCCATATTTTTTTTTAAACCCATATATTCAAGTATTTCTTTTTTGGTGGATCCTGCGCTTCTACAAACTTCTAATCGTAGATTTTAAATTATCCCTAAATTTATTTTGACCTTTACCCATTTTAAAGAATTTAGTCCAGTACAAACACCTAGGGTATTCTGCGCACTGGATGTTTATTCAACAGGACAGTACCCCAAAACAGTTGTGGTAATTTCTGCTTCTACGTTTTTAGGGGAGAAATTCTTGCCTCTGCATCCACAAGAGCTGTACTGTATTAAACCCCTGCTGTTTTAGCATGAAACAACAGAACCTGAAAGGTTCGATTGTTTCCTCACACACTCTCACACAGTCACACCTATTTTAAGGCCTATTATATTTTTTTATTTTAACCAACATAGACACAAAACACCTATCGTTACGTGTACACTTTGGAGTCTCCAACTCCAGGCCCTCGTACGCATCGGATACCCAGATGCCTTATCTGTCAAATATCCCTGCTGCGGCAGCTGCAAACCTTACTTGGGAACAACACAGAGTCCCATACACTAATGCACAGAATACCCAGATGCCATATCCGTCAACAAGACTTGGTCTCGTCAAATATTCTTGCGATTACAGCTGTAACTTAAATGGTCCTGACCAACTTTTGATCAAAAGCTTCAGGCCTACCCTGTGTCGTGTAGAATCAGTTCCTCTGGAGTCGTCACCAAGTTGTCCAGGGCAGGGTTGGACCAAACTGGCCCCGTCCGGCGAAGGTAGGACGGCTGTGGACAGATTCTTGGCCTTGGTCCCACACGGTCCTGGACAATTGGATTTCGACTCCCGGGTTTCGGCACCAAATATGTATAAAATGTAGGTTTTTGCAAAAGAAGAACTGAAATACACAATTATGGATACAATTTCTGCAGAAAGGAGAGACAGTTGAACCCCAGACTCAAACACACTGTCTCTCACTGGACCTCCTCCGCAGAGCGTTTATTAACAGAACATGACACATGGTTACAAACACAGTATTGTTCTGACAGAACAATTGATCAGTTCATTAAGACAGAATGCTCCATCAGAATGACAAGGCAGGATGGTCTCCTTACTGAATCATGACACAGGAGTGGAGCATCCCCTCGCAAAAATGTTTTATAAGCACACATTAATTTTTATAATCATCACTGAATAAACCTAACACTTTAATAAGAAATGATGTAAAAAAAAAATGGATAAACACCCTGTAAAAGAGAAGAAGTTTTAGACAAACATAAAACAGACACAGCTCAAATAAGTTAAGATGAACTGATTTCATTGAATTTCTAAAGTCATTCTAAAATGTTAGCAGATTTTAACCCAAACACAGATTCATCTTAGAAACAATGGCAAACTTGGTTGTTTTCCTTCACTGGAAAAAACTAAACTCTCATCAAATAATTTGTTCTTAAAATAAGTGCCTTTTTTATTGAGGAGGTATGTGTGAAACTTTGCCAATGGAACAAGACAATTTACCTGTAGAATAAGGAAAAATATCTACTCATATTAAGGGTAAATACACTTAATTTAGGAAATATTGACTTATTTCCATATCGTTTTTGCAGTGTTTACCCTTAGTGAGGATGAGCAATCAAAAAATAAGCTTAACATCATTAAAAACTTATTATGTGGAATATATTTAGAAAATAAATTATTAAATGTATATAAAAAGCTTTAGATTATATGTTACAAAACACCAACAAAGCAGCAGCTTCAGTACAGCAAACAGCTGTTAGTTCCAGGAAGCTCTATTTCCTGGGTTCTGATCGTCCGCTGATTGAGATGAAATTTACTTCAGTAGTTTTGGCTTCCTTAAAGGGTCCAAACATCTCTGGTTTTATGTGGAAGGGTTTCTATCACAGATGATAAAAGATTTCAAGACAAGACATAAAAATGCCAGGATAAGTGAATTAAGACAAGATGGCAGCCATGTTTTTGTATTTACAGACAAGCTTGAGGCTATTTCTGTGGCAGATATTGCTTTGCCGTCTGATGTAATCAGTGTTAACATGAAATACACTCACTAAATGGGTTTCAATTACAAATGTTCAAAAAATATGTTGATATTCTGCTAATTCCCAAAAATAGAAAGTTTGCTAATTGCAGTACTTCCAGTAAAGAATGAGTACACTTGAAATTGCGCATTAATCTGTTTAAGTGGTAACATTAAAACATGGCAGTGGCAGATCCTCCAACAACTTGGGGTTTTCTTCTTCTACATTTTACAAGGCAGTAATGTCCAGCTGCAGATCGCGTTGCTCGTGTGATTTGAATTTTTTTTTACATTGCAGCTTTGCAATATTTATTAATTTTGATATTGCAGTTTCCATTTAGCGAATATATATTCATCATTCGATGGTTAACGTAAAAGAAGCTGTCTCATTAATTTAAACTTCCCTCACTCGGTGTCCTCCTGAACGTCTTAACTGGCCCTCAGTGGAAAACCAAGTCCAAATGGTACAGGATTGGGTGTGATCTCTAGAAAATAAACCCCTTCGGATTAAACATCCCGCTTCGGTCTTGGTTCTGACTTCCTTTTACACCTCCGCTATCCAATCTCTCACCACCCTACGACAAAAACGTAACCCTAGTGTTTAGATTTGTTTTCCAATGCACTGACCATTTATTTGGTGTTATCCATTATTCCCATCTTTAGGAACTGAAGAAAAATGGATAAAGATAAAGACACCTTTGCAAGGAACTGGAACGTCTCAGTAGGCACCAGGACATTTATACAGGAAGGTGTCAGAGGGCTTAGAGATGCAGTCCAAAGGCACTTTATCCTTCATCCTCTGTCACCACCCTGCTGAGCTTCAGACAGCCTGTGCAAAAGTAAAGCCTACAGCCTCTGCCGTCCCGCCCGTCTTGCTTCCTCGGAGCTCGAGGAGAGCATGCGCAATATTATTATTAAACTTGTAGGAGCAAAACATGCAGAAATTTACGCTTAATTTAATATGACATATTTAAAAAATCCCCATCATCCTGCATATGTGCAGTTTCTGGACAAATATTTTCTTTTTGTTGTATATTTTTGTAACAGGGATAACTAGGATCATACAAAATAGCTTTTTTATGAGCTATGTTTGTTCTTTACTTCCAAACTCAGCATCTCTTCATCCATTCCTGCAATAATAAGTTTCTTTTGACTGGCTTTGATTAAACTTTTTAAGCCTCTTGGTATAAAATAAATATTTTGATGGAGATGAGAAATCTCCTTCCTGGTCTGTTGAAGTACCAACAGCTTGCATCCGATCTTTTACATAAACAGTCTTAGTTTTTTTGGAATATATAAGAATTATGCTCTAATCTGTAGTTACCGATCATTTGTCACTATATTTTAATTTGACAAACTAGATCGTCTGGACTTTCTTTTTCCTGCTTGGTGTGATTGTAATTGCAGATCTTGACCTGGCCGGACAGGAACGGAGCAAAATATAGCTCTACTCTGTATTTAGACGCTAACGGACTGAGACGTGTGGAGGAGTAGAGGTGGATGTGGAACAGCTCTCATTGACTAACATGACAGACAAGCGCTCCAGACAACGTACATGAGCGGGGAGGAGCGCTGATGTCTGATGTGGAATTTGGTGGTAAGATAGTGACAGCTAACAATCACATGTGAGACTAAAACAAACCAAAGAATCCCCTAATGATGAGCTTTGATACCTGTGCAAAAGCATGCTTCCCCTTGAAGTGGCTGGAGTCAAGCTGCTTCTACTTCAGGTCATAAATCAAAGATCACCAGAATTATCAGAACTGAAACCCCACCTAGTATTTTTCAATACTGTGAACAATGAACCTTTACAGTCAATGCCTGAAGATTTTAAATGGTTTAATTGCATAAGAAGGGTATTCTGTGACCAGCATTTACTCTTTGGTGTTTTAAATGTCTTCTGGGCAAATGAAAAGAAGAAAGTAAAATATTAAAAACCAAGCTTCAGATGGAAAATCTCTAAATATGGTGAGCGTTGCACTGATTGGTTAATTTTTCATTAATAAAAATCTAAGGACGTCACAGACACAACAGCAAAAATAAAACCACAAAAGCTCACAAAATAAACAGCGTTCCTGTTTCCACTTTATTGCACCAAATGATTTCCACCCAAAAAAAGGCCTCCTTCACCCTCCTGCCTTTACATCAGGAAAAAAAATAAAATAAAAAAAAATAAAAGATTACATTACATAACATGCAACCCAATGGAGAACAGATAACATTTTGAAGACAGATGCACACAGAGGCACTGACATTTACCTACTGGACGGAACAAGCAAAGCTCTCCAGGAGCAGAGGGTTGTGGCAATGAACAGAGTTAAACCATAAAAAAATAAACATTTCTTTGTTAACTTATCTGTAACATTCAAATATTTATTTATATGATTATCTGTTCTTAGGTTATAACTGGCTCCTTCAGATGTTGAATCTGCAATCCTATTAGAGGTGTTTTTTTTATTAAACGAATATGATTCACTCCGTCAAAATGTTGAGGATTCAATGTCAGTTTAGATTTACGTCCTTATTTGGCTTCCACACTTTGCCCATTTCCTCTAACCACAACTGTTTACCCTCAAAACACCAGGCCTCAACCTGTTTAATAAACACAGCATACCTACTTTATAAAAAAAAAAAAAATTAAAAATCTCTTTTTTGATTGATAAACATATTCCAAATTTACTCCAAATCTGATCACATTGAGGCTCCTCCACCTGACTGCCATATATGAACTTACCCGGTCAGATTTCAAATCTTTGTTCAAATGCTGAGACATGAGGAGAGAAAACTCTAACTTTCTCATCTCTGAACAGAATTAACTAAAACCCATCATAAAAAAACAACAAACACCTGAGACTCTGATGTCATTGCCACAAGTCCTTTAAACATCTCTGGTCATTATAAATAGTTTTCTGCGATGCATCAGGTTGTTCACAAGCGATGCTTCAGGTCACGCAAAAACATCAAGAAATACATCCAGACATTTAGGATACAGGAGAAAAAAAACAACAACAAAACAACACAGAACCCCGAAAAACAGGTAGGATTTGGTCTTCATGTCAATACGTTCATAAAAACAGAGGACAACCATTCTGATATCCAGATGTTTCCAGTGAAAGCAGAGATGAATTAGGCTGAAGGAAGATAACCAACCCATTTTTTCATCATTTTTACCAACCCACTATCCTCTAGATTTCCCCATTAGAGAGTCTCCATCCTTATGAACTAAAATAAATCACTTCCTTTGATCCACGTTTTTAAAGAACATAGATTGTGCTTAAATGTACCGTACACTATAAAGTTGCTCTATATATATATATATATATACTTTTGATCTAAATGTCTGAAGGAATTATGAAGCATTTCAGGTTATTAAGCAACAAAACAAGTAAAAGGCCACGATTCCTTGTTCAAAGCAAAGGTTTTGCGAAAATAAAAGAAAAAAAGATGGCCGCTTGGCCCCGGGCAGCTAAAGGTTATAAATGTGCGAGTACTTCTCAGAGACCGAGCTGCTTCAGTGCTATCTCCTAAAAAAAAAAGAAGTGACATCCTTTTGGTTTAGTCATCTACAATCAGAAGTTTTGGATTTAAAAATGTTTGATAAAATTATTTTTTTTAGTTTCTCTTCTCCCTAAAATTCAAATTTATTTTTGGCTCCTTGACAGCAGAAAAAAAAAATTAACCCTATAACTTCTTTCAATGTTTACATAGAAATATATTAGATTAACACTTTCCTTTTTAAAGTCCAGGATCCAAAAAAAGAGAAGCAAGTCTTAAAAATGGAGTTCCCTCTAGCTGTATACTGGGCCCCCTAATTCTCATATCTACTTATATAAAGTTTAAATGATCTAGATTAGCCAGTTAGATCCCCAAAGGTATTAATGGCAGTATTGAGGAACTATACCCATTAGGGCTACTGTGACCCTGCTTCTTAAAAATAGATCTGCACAGTTTGTACAGTCATTTTCATGTTACTCAACTGTAAAAGCTGCCAAACATTGGACAACTTGGAACTTGGTCTATCTCCTTAATAACCAGACTTTCTAATGCTTTTCTTACTTTAAATATAACTACCAAGGTACATATTGATTTTTTTGTAGCCATACTGATTACAAAATGGTAGATTTAAAGATGAGCGAGTCCATTAACATCTTAAGTGGCCAAAAACTAGCTAATGGCAGAACTGCTACCCCAAACCATGGTGGAACTGACATGCTTTCCTGTGCTTGCTTCAATCTCTGCATTGCTGATTAGCAGTCATTTATCATGATACAGACTGTTGGGTCTCTGCCATAATTGATTTTGATGCTTTTTATTCCTGGGATAAGTTGACCCACCTTCGTATGCTAACCTAAAATGGTTAGCATATGAAGTTGATGCTAACCTTAAATGGTTAGCATACAAAGTTGATGCTAACCTTAAATGGTTATCATTAGTCCCAGGTCATTTAAGGACAGTAAAAGTTCATCTAAAGAAGCTTTCAATTACAAAACTATTCATAACTTTATTTGAAATATGCTAATAAGACAAATGCCACGACAAAAAGTTTAACATAGCAAAATTTAGTGTATATCCAAACCTTGCAGGGGTCGTAGTGTTTGGTTTTCTTAATCTTCAACATAACTTGAATTAGCCTCTTCTGTAACTTAGGTTAAGTTATCTGTCTTAGCTTTTACTTAATTACTAGACAGTTTAAGCAGCGTAAAAGGATTAGTAAAGAAACAAAAATCAGAAGGCCCAGTACAGGATCCTGTGGAACTCCAGATTCAAATTTTCACAACAAAATTTTCGGTTTATGGTTTAGTCACGTTACATGAAATACGCGGGGCTGTAGTCATGACGATCCTTATGTTGCTATTTTTCAGTGCTAATTTCCGCTCGCTAAACTGAGCTAGCTCAGCTGGATTTTATGCCTCATAATAGTCCAGAAATTATTAACCACCTAAAAGCTGCTCTGTTTTTGAGAAACACATGAATAAATTAAACGTGGTGACTTCTTAATGCAAATTTTACAAAAACAAATCAGAAGAGCTAAACTATGAACAACAAAGAATATTTCATATTGCTGCTCTAAATGTGCAATTGCTGCTGTTTGTGTGTGTAATCTCCTTCAAATGTGCATAACAGCCTTTACGTGTGAGCTTGGAATGAGTGTCATTATTTAGGCCACGACTGGTGAGAAGGCGGTGACTGTGCACAGACACACCTGTGTCCTTCCTGCACATGTGGCATGAAGCATTTATAAAAATTAAAGAGGTATAAAGCTAAAAAGAACAGACAACCAAAACTTTGTATTTTTACCTATTTTTCAAACCTGAAATATATATACATATTTGTGTTTTACTTTTTCCTAAAATATACTTATTTTATTACTTTTTTTGACTGTAGGGTCATGATTTGTTCATGTTTGTTTTCAGTTTCACAAAAGATTTTCCAAGTTTTTTTAATGCCAGAAAATCTCTTTTGGGTTTTTTTTTTCCTTCTACTTACTGAATCTCCTTTTTGCTTCTCCTAAAGATTTGATTTTTGATATCTTTGGGCTGTTTGGTGAAAAAGAAGACAATGTTTTGTTGCAGAAAAGACATTTGTTTTTTTAAACAAAATCCAATCAGAGGTTTTAATGACCCTTCTAATAATATTCCACCTTAGGCTGGCCGCCATCATGAACAAGCTTCAAGCATCTGTGTCAGTGTAAATGTTCAAGCAGTTAAAAGGACAAAGAATATAAAGTAAAGCAGATGCTTCCCCGGTAAACTTTTACTGCGGCTGAGCAAACAGCAGCAGCTTGACGTGTTTCGCAGCATCACGGGGTGCCAACAGGAGAGCCTTTGAGGCTGCTGAGGGCTGCATGGATCCTGAAGTGCAGTCTGGACTCCATGGAGTAGTCCTTGTAGTTCGTCCTAAAGGCAAGAGCCAGAAAACAACCACTCATAAAATAAACAGAAAATGTTTTCTGAATTAATTCAAATAGCTATTACAAGGGTTTAGCTTAGAAAAGGATAGCTAGTTACATAACTAGGGTTACCAACTCCCTGAAATAAAAATCTAAAGGGACTGTCACTACCTGATCTGCCCCAGAAGCATGATCCGTCCTTCACATGCGCCATCAGCTATTTTGCGCATCCAGATATACATCCTGGTCGTCTTCGATTTTATTTTGTTAAAAAGACCTAAATGACATTTTTCCCTTTCCAAAAATAGTAAGCGTACTAAAATATAATGTGTTAAAGGTTCATAATGTATTTCCTGAGAAAATAAATTCCTTAAAATACTTTCTATTTTATCACTCGTCGCTACCCGATCTGCACCAGAAATAGGATCCTATGCTATTTCCGGTGGCTTAACTTTTTCGGCTTTGGATTTAAACATAAATTGAATTTTATGTTTTTTTTTCGTTTTAACCTTATGCTATGTAGTGTGTAATCTAAAGAAAGAAATGCAGATAAACATGGGTTAATCAAATTAAGCTCTGAGCATGTCCGATGATGACGTCAGAGAAGCAGTTTAACGAAGAAAATGTAAAAAGCATCAAAATTGTCTCACAAAAGTCCTAATTAGAGAGTTAAGGATAGTAATAAGTAATTTCAGTACCATAATTCCATTATTTATGGACACCCGGATGTATATCTGTTTGCGCATGCGCAGGACAGATCGAGTGGTGACAAGGCTAAAATACAAAAGCAGCATACGGCAAATCAAAGGAACCCAGATGATCCAGCAGCTCCTAAAACCCTCCTCTACTATAACACTGCATTTCACAGTACAATTCTGAGCAAAGCATTTTTGCATTTTTTTCAAATTTACTTTTACAACACCTGTAGGTTTTTTTTGTCTATTATAATTTTTACAAAACTATGGTGGACCAGCTCTACCATATTTAAAAATATATAAATGCTCGATAAATAAATAAGCATACAATCAATTACCCCCAAAAATACAATAAACAAATAAATGTAGGTAGAAATTAAATTAAACAGTGAGACATAAATGTATAAATCTCTTTTAAATAGCTTCTTTGTTTATTCACCTTTGTAATAATTAACTTATTTATATATTGTCAGTCATAATCTTCAAATTTATTTATTAATTACTTATTTTTTAAAGTATTTATGCGCATGTTATAATATTTGTGTCTGTTTTATTCTTCCTTTGTATTTTTTACCCTATTTATTTCTTCAATGTTATTTATTTCTGCCAGTCGTTTTTACATAACAGCCGGTCCTCCATACAAAACATGTTCTTTGCTTGCAAAATAGAAGAAGCGGCAATCGCCCACACTGCAAAAATGATCTAAAAATGAGTAAAAAAGTCTAAAAGTAAGTGTATTTACCCTTAATTTGAGTAGGTAAATAAGATGATTTGCCAATGGAATGAGTATTTTAACTCTTAAAATAAGATAAATAAATATTATACACTTGAAATAAGACAATGCAATATTGTTGTTCTTATTTTAAATGTAAATTGTCTTGTTCCATTGGCAAAGTGTCTCACTTACCTCCTTAATTTAAGAAAAAATGACTTATTGAGATTTATATTTTTTGCAGTGCACTAAAAAAAAAAAAAAAATCTGTCCAAATTATCGGCGACGTATCGTTCTGTCTAACTCCCACATTTGAATCAAATAAAAAAAAAAGAAATGTGCGTCCAGTTAAAGCTGCACTTACTTGGCTTTCTCAATGTACGTGGTGGCCTTTAAGAAATCCCCCTGTTGTTTATACAGCAGGCCCAGCTCATAGAGGGTGAAAGGGATCAAGTAGTGATCGTATCGGATACGACTCTCACTGGGAGCAAACAGACACACAGAAGAGGAGATAAGATCTAAACTTAGCAGAAGGAAGATCAACAGCGTCACTCAGTGCCTGAACCATATCATCTGAATGCCTTTGTTGTTCTGTGTGTTTGGTCTTACCTGGAAAGGACCTGCGTGAAGCAGAGCTCCGCTTGAAGAAACCTGCCCAGATGTTTCAGGCAGAGCCCCTTCAACATCTGGACCAGACCGCTGTCGTCTGGATGGAACTCTGACGGATCTGGGAGAGAAAAAGGGACGAATGATCAGCAAATAATAATAATACCATTTAATTTATACTGCACTTTCCATCACATCTCAACGTGCTCCAGGTAAAAAAAGAGAACAAAAATAGAATAATAAAAAAAGCATGCAAAAACATCTAAAGGGGACCAAAAAGCTTTGCTAAAAATAATTATTTTAAAGCATTTTTTTTAAAACACTCAGGACAATGGGAGCCCCACAGATCTCCATAGATGCATTGATGTGTGAGGATCCTGGTGGAGATGGGAAGCCAGAGTAATAAATGGAGAATAGGGGTAATATGCTGCTGTTTCCACTGTCTCATTAGCATCCTAGCTGCAGGATTTTGAATTTACTGAAGCCTCTAAGTCCCGCTTTTTCTGATTGGCTAATACTGTTAGTTTCAGAGCTCTCCTTTGCTACCATTGGCTGGCAAACGCAAGAGGGATTTTAATTGTCTTCTCTTTATTTATTTACCATCAATTTATTTTTTGGGGGTTTTTTTTTCCCCCGGGCAAACGCTACAGGCCGGAATACTTTAATCCCTGCATAAATGACGGGAAACAGTTATATGAGTAGATCTCTATTATGGAAAACGCCTGGTTGTGCTCACTTGGGTCATTACGCAGCTGCTGTTCAGCTTTCTCAATAGTAACCAGCAGAGACTCTGTAAAGTCGGCTCTTTTCCCAACGATGGTGAACCCGTTCCAAACGTACATCATCTCCTACCAACAAAAAAAACAAGGATTTATTAGCTCTGAATACAAAGGTTTTTATTCACTTCCAAGTGAAAGATGCGCAGTTGACGAACCAGTGCAGGGATGACCAGTGGGACAGGCTTAGCAGCTTTGTAGCGTCTGGACTTCCTCACTGCAAACTTCTCCATGGGGATCGACTTTCCTGCCAGGCGCTGTTTCAGTCCCTCCACCTGCCTGCACACAAATACTGCTTTATTAGTCTGGCCCCCAAACAATAACCATCAAAAGGTATCTTTAAAACAAGCCTTTTTTTCCCCTCCAACATCATGAGTAAAATGATGCTGAGATGCATCGATGTGAAAGAAAAGCAACCTGAAGAGCTCTACGATATCCTCCCCCGTCTTCCTCACATCATCCTCCGTCATCATGCTGAGGATGGCTGCTTTCTGGTACATGTAGATGGCCTAAAAAACCCAAAGCACACACATCAAGACCTCTAGTGCAGGGGTCGACAACCCAAACTGCTCAAAGAGCCATACTGGACCAAAAAAAAATAAAAAATCTGTCTGGAGCCGCAAAAATGTAAAAGCCTTATGTAAGCCTCGTATAGCAACACGGGCTCTAAGTGTATTATCCCACTATAGAAAAGGACTATATGGGCTTAAATATATAATAAGCATTCACGATTAAATGTTTATCTGAAAGCAAATGTCACATAGTAGCCTGAGGTGACGGAGGAACAGTGAACGCTCCCATCGCGCACCGCTTCACAGAGCGCCGCTTCACCGCCTTCACTGCGCGATTTAAGTTTTCTTGCAATAATCACTGCATGAAAAGTGGGATTTTCGTCAATATG